CTTTACCTGTCGGACGTTCGGCAAGACCTTACAACGCAGAGTTTCGGGGTTTGGCACTTGGGTTCAAGGAAGGCTATCTCTGCACTTGTATTCCCATTTGTTCTTAGCAGTGTATAGCCGATAGCAATCTGCTAATTTTGTCGTTGTAATTAACCCAACAGAGAGGTCTGAGAAATGACATTGTTAGGAACAAGGTTAGTCGTTATGATAGTCACAATGAACTATACCAATAAACTGATTGTTAAGGCCGCGAATGTACCCAGCATAGTACGTTTAACGATCTTATGCAGAACCCGTATGAATTTAGATGGAGTCAGAATTCTTCACAGTGTTTGGAAAAGTTGTTCTTGCGCGTTTCGGGTGGGCATTGAATTCATGTAAACCTTTTAAACCCGACGCAGTAAACCCTAAACCATCTTGAACCCAATGCCTACGAACTTACGACCAACAAGGTTTTTTCCGTGCACAAAGCAGAGTTCCGACATGTCAGGAGGCGAAGGAAGACGACAGCAAGGACAAGAAGGACGGTCCAATCTATAGGGATTTAAGTTTTTGGGTTAAAGCGGTTACGGGTTATGCAGGGCCGAGGGTATCGGGTTATTCAAGCTTTGGGTCTGGGACTTGGGTTTTGGGGTTTATGTAGGTGTTTAAAGTGACCGGCTTTCTGTATTGACAACGGGGTCTGGATAGTCCGTAGAAATGCACCGTTGTGGCTCCGAGGTACTTATAGTGTTAGCCCCCCCCCACCTCATATTGGGGTTCTGGTGTAGGGAGTGCAGCGGTTAAGGATTGAGGATAGGGAAAAAGACGGGTAGGGGCTTTAACATGTAGAGCTTTGTATGGGATGTTTAAAGAGGTTCTTCAAAGTACACTGACAGCTTGGATGAGAAGCTCTTTAAGCGGCACGGTACCTTGGGTTTCTTTTTCTGACAACACTTGTTTCAGGTTTTATCGTGCCCTTGTGTTGAATTTCCTAATCTCCTTGTGGGCGGTCCGGGATGGGAAATGGCTGGGAAGTAGACAACAGGAATCCACGAAATCCAGGGCCTGAACTTCAGATTATCCTAGTATAGAGGTCTGGTTATTTGGAATAGGGTTTTGGAGTTTTGGGCAACGTTGTGGATCTTCGACATGCTTTAGGGCTGCACATTTCTAGAGAACAGCACCCCGCCCTTGGGAGGACGAGAAAAAGGATGAGAAGAAGAAAGAGGACGACAGTAAGAAACCCGGTTTGGTCTGGGGAAGTTGAGGAAATTTGACTTGCGGTTCGTAAAACACCCTTCAGAACAACCTGAAGCAAATCTTGCATGTTTTGAAAAACGGTGCAACCCGAACACTCCAAACCCTAGACCTAAGCCGTAAACAATGAAGCCATAGATAAGAACCCTTTGCGTCAACAGAGCCTCCCAACACCTCCTAAAGCCTTAAACAGTTGGAAATCGCTTGCACAAACGGCAGGGGCAAGGTTTAAGGTTTAGGGTGTCCGCTGCCGTGCTGTTGTGGATTGCATAAAATGGACGAGTTGCATTCCGCTTTCCCAGCTAGTTGAGTTGAGCCAGTGTCTGGGGAGTTTTCGAGGGGTCTTTGGATACTCAGGCTGGGCCTATAGTCTCCACCATAGTGCCTTTGTTTGGCTGGCTAACTTTATGGTTACGACCCTTTACTGCAAAACAAAACCGCGCTGTATTTACCAAGTCCCGCGATCCCCTATGTACCCCGAAAATCTACACTCTTAGTATCTCTTAATCATTGGTCGGACCCCTCAAAGGAAGCCCTCGTACAACTTACCCTAATCCTTCAGGTCTGGCCCCCTTTTGTTGGGAGTCTGGCCGGAGGGTTCCGCGTTTTGGCTGTGCGCTAAGGGACTTGAGCCGTGAACCCAAGCCAGAAACCCTAAAGTATGTTCTAAACCTGCAACTTACACCCAGAACCCTGAAACCCAAACCCTGAAACCCCAACCCCCACTCTAAAGCCTAAACCTAAGCCCTAAACCTAAACCGAGGCCAACTGTCGAGACATCACATGGCACTGCTGAAGCTACTGGCACAGGCCTTCTGGGTCTTGGACGGGCTTAGGGTGTGGAGTCGTTTGGAGTTGTTCTTGAAGGTTCAAGGTCAAATTAGTCAGAACATACATCGGTTTGGAAATAATGTTGGGGGGTTTAGAGTTTGAACGCTTGAGCGTGTAGTCTGCAGGACCTCATTGGATAATATCTTCTTTGTGGTTGAGGGCCTTATTCAAGATGCTAGAGTTGCAATTAAAGGCCCTGAAGATCCATGTACCCAACTAGTATCTACTCTGGGCCCAATGTACTTATATACCTAATACTTTAAGGCCAAAGTATATACTATTTGGGTACATGGACCCCTAAACCCTAAACCCCTAAACCCCTAAACCTTAAACCCGAAACCCCTAAACCCCTAAACCCCTAAACCTTAAACCCGAAACCCCGAAACCCTAAACCCCTAAGCCCCTAAACCCTCGTGGACCCTTAGGGAGGTTGATGTGAGCGGTCCAGGGTCGGAGGTCCTGACCCCCAGGATGCCCTTGACGGGAATCTACAGTAGAAGCCAGAAAGTTGGAATATCATTATCGTAATCCCTTTAAGGTAAATTATAGGGGGTCCTACCATTAATCCATATTCCAACTTTCTGGAGTTCCCTTTAAAGGCTCAGCCCTCAGCCCTAATAATTAGAATAGGTTTGGTGGTATATTTTGCTAGAATCACAAAAAAATAAGGAACCCCCCAAAACCCTATATTATATATTGTGAGGTCCTTAGAGAAATCCTAAAAACCTGTCTCAACCCGAGACCTACACCTTGTGAGGTCTAGGCCCCCGCACCCCGCCAGACTTCCGGGCCCCCACCCGGAGAGCCCTCCTTGACAGCCCCTGAGAAGTCTATAGGGTTTAGGGTTTGAGGTTTAGGGTTTGGGGTTTGAGGTTTAGGGTTTGGGGTTTGAGGTTTAGGGTTTGAGGTTTAGGGTTTGGGGTTTGAGGTTTAGGGTTTAGGGTTTGAGGTTCAGGGTTTAGGGTGTAGGGCTTATAGGGTGTATAGGCCAGAAGGCACCAATGTCACGCTTGTGGAAGGAGCTCAGCTGTGAGCCTGCGGATATAGTGGATGCCGATCTGTGTCTCATGGATGCGCAGGCAGATGTCGGCGTGTTCGGGTTTATGAAGCTTTCATCGGGTCTTGTTGGTGCTCTGTAGGGGTGTTGTAGGGCATTTACTTATTGGGGTTCTTATAAGGTAGTCGGTTATGAAAGTTTCAACTTTTATTCCTCGGGTTATGGTCCAGCGGGTTTAAGGGTGTCAGATCTTCTTAAAGTCTGCTGGGGGGTGGGGGGTCTCTCGTTGGAGGTCCTCCCAGCAAGAAAGGCACCTGGAACATGATGGCTCAGTTTCCATACTAGGATGCCCAGTAGTACCCTTATTCCCTTTTTGTAGTCTTAGGTTCCTTATTTAGTTACCCAATACCAAAAAGGCAGCCCTTTTGATTCCTAGGTTACTGGGCATCCTAGCATAAGATTCTTTGCCAGGCAGGCAAACATAATGGGGCTTTGGCGCTGATTGCAGCCATGAGAACCTTGCAGCACCCTTGTGTGGAAAGCCTTGTGAGGTAAAGCGCAAGAGCTTGCGGAAACCTGTCAGTTGAACTCCTTAAAGTATCCGTTTAGGAATCAGGTTTCCTTCTGCGATGCTCTGTTGCTGGATTCGCTGGCTAAACCTTAATCTGGCAGATAGCCAGGGCTTAAGCAGACCCCGACATCTGTTCCTTTCAGGGTTTAGTGTTCAACGTAGGAACCTGATCAAGAAACCCTGGCCCCATGTCCCAACATTATTCGGATCCTCGTTCAGATCCCATAAAGAACCCACCAAGAGTTTTTGTTAACCAGGTTCCTCTTTTGGAGTTCTGGCTACCCAGAACCCTAAAGGTTACTCTAGGCCTGGGTGTTTAGATTCTGAGTCCAAAAGACCATACGGTTTTGAGTTCTGATCTTTGGGCGCTAAGTCCAGCTGACCGTCACCGCCAGGGTTTGTCCGTGGTTTGTTGGCTTCCAAGGCGGCTTACATAGCCAATGGAGGAAATACTGATGATGATATAAATCCTGCATTACCCATAATAAGGAATATTATATACCATTGTTCCCATAGTTTAGGGCCGTTAAGGTAATGCAGGATTTATATCATGAACCGTGTGAATGTATCGGCCTTGTATATCTGGTCTCAAGGGGGGAAAGGAGGGACCCTTAATGGGGACCCCTACCCTATAATGGGCTACATAATGGGTATATAATAGCTATATTAAGGTTTTATACCTAGGGGTCCTTATTAAGGGTCCATCCTTTTACCCTTGGATGGTCCATCTTATTAGAGAGTTTGAACATTTGTGGGCCCGGGTGTTGAATATCAGAGAGGGTTGCCTCAGACCATCATGAGGAACGTTGCATGTATAATTAATGCTGTTGTTCCTTCGGGTTCCTAGTATATCTTATAGTGTCGGAACCTGATTAAGAAATCTTGGGTCAATAGCCCCAAAATAGTACGGTTCATACAAGGAACCCTAATAAAGGCCCAAGGATTCTTAAGCAGGTTCCCACATTAGTGTACCCCAGAGCCGGATTCGAAGTACGGGCTTCTTTATGGATTTAACCTATCCCCACTTCCCCAAGACTCTGGTACACCCAATGGTCCCCGGTAGGAGATTCGCTTGCATAGGTAAACCCAAGTTGTCCTTGTAAACTGGCACCTACATAGTACAGACTTTGGCTTGACAGTATGTATAGAGGAACAGGGGCTTACGGTTTAGGGTTTAGACACCAAACTATATACCAATCGACGTAGTCGAGGTGCATGGACCTTCGTGGGCAGGTACCGTATTTTTTTTCCTAGCACAAAAAGCTCAGTGCTTCTCACACACGCCACCGTCAACTTGGCCACAGAGGCTCAAAGCAAGCGCTTCAGCCATTTTTTTCCCAGTTTCCTGTCTTTCCTACAGCCATGGAGAGACGAGCCCCTCGGCAACTAAGACTCAGACCTGTCGCTCTAGGGCCTGCGTGACGGCGCTAGACTTTAGGGGCTTAATCAGGGTTAAAGCCTTGAATCAAGACCCCACTAAATCCTTTGTTTGTGTTAAGAAATATGAAGCCTAAGCCCCCTGAAACACCCTGTAAAACACTGCTTCACTGAAACAGTGAGGCAAAGGGCTTTACAGGGTGATTCAGGTACGAAGACCCACTGCCAATTTATTGCATCCGATTATAAATAAACTGCGATAGTAGAAACACGGCGACGGTAAAAGTAACCTTTAATAACCTTTAAGAGACCCCTATAGAAACCGCGACCCTATAATAGAACCCCGTAAAGGAATCCTGCAAAGAACCCGGCCCAAAATCCGAAACTAGAACCCCTGCTTTGGAAGATCATGGGACTTAGTAGGTATAAGTACCTCAAGTGGGCTTATCAGCAATTCAAAAGTATAGCTACCTGAATAAAAAGCTTGATTATAAATAACCCTGAACCTAAAAAAACCTCAAACCCTAAACCCTGAACTCTATAGTACCCTTATAGATCCCTTATAGAAACTCCTAGATTCCGAAACCTCTTATAGAACCCGTATAGATCCCTTATGGAGCCCTTTAAGGAACCCTTGTTACTAACTAGGTCCTATGATCCTCCAACAAACCCCACAACCCCTCTTATAGAACCCTTATAGATCCCTTTTTAGGAGCCCTTTATAGGAGCCCTTTCAGGAACCCTTTAAGGAAGTCTAAGCCCTTTAAGGAACCCGTTTAAGGAACCCTTTAAGGAACCTTGTAAGGAACCCTAGGAACCCTAAGCCCTTTAAGGAACCCTTTAAGGAACCCCAAGCCCAGGTGCAACGACTCGGGCCGGGACTCTTCCTTCTTTTCTTGGCCTTCACGTTGGGCTCCCCAGCTTCCGGCCTGCTAAAATCCTTCTAACCTTGGGCTCTAACGGTTTAGGGTTTGGGGTTTCGGGTTTAGGGTTTCGGGTTTCTAAGGTGAAGGCTTTTGGGCCCAAAGACCATACGAAATACGGCTTTTGGGCCCAAAAGGCTTTTGGGCGATTTTGATGCCCAGGGTTCTGGGGGTCGAAAAGGGGGTCTGTAGGGTACCGTAATAAAGGGGCCTACATAATTACCAATATTTTTTTGGGGGGGGTCCTTATTACAATTAGAATATAATGTGCCCTGAAACCATATTCTACTTACTAAGGCCCCTATATTCGTAAGTTCTAGAGGTTTCTATAGATAGTTCCAAAAGTAGGGCTTCTGTAGTAAGCTCTGTAGGGTTCCGTGATAGTTCTATAGCAAGGGTTATATACAGGGGTTCTGCAGTATACTAACCCACAGGGTCCATATACATTACCATTATGGAACTAGGTCCCCAAAACCATAATAGGGATGGTCTTTTGGGACCTAATTCCGTAATGGTAGTGTATATGGACCCTCTGGGTAATGTAGAATTTAGGGTTTACGGGTTTAGCGTTTACAGTCCATATAGAGGCTTTGAGGCTTAGGGTTTGGGTCTGGGAATTTGATGTTCAGCGATCGAAGGGTCTGGAGCGTAACGTTTAAAGTTTAAAGGTTCCCAGACATTATAGTAGGATCCTTAATATGATTTAAGGTATATTCCTTAATTAAGGGATTTTGGAAGGTCTGGGTTGTTGGCTCAGCTCCACCGCCGACTACTTCCTGCCTACTACCTCCTTCCTCCTACTGCTACTGCTTCGGCTACTGCCAGTGGTACTGCTTCGGCCGCTGCTGCTGCTGTGGCTGTTGCTTCCGCCTCCAAGTCGAGATGTTGAAACGCTAAACACCCCCCAAGGCTCCATGTACCCACATAGTAGAAACTTGGACCTTAAAGTACCTATATAGGGACCCCTTTAAGGCTTAAGTATCTACTATAAAGGTACATGGAGCCTTTGGGCCCTAATTATGCCCCAAAACATGAAGCCTTAAGCCCTCAACCCAAAGCCTAAACGCAAACCCTGACACCGACAGCCAGAAACCCTTCGACCCTAATCCACAACCCCAAACCTTGCTTTGGTTTGATAGCACTTTACATGTTAATGTACACTTAAACTTAAAAAGGAATCTATCCCAACCATGAACTGGATTATCTGTCAAAGGAAATGTATTGCTGTACAAGGACTACAAGGAAATCATACTAAGAAAGCCTCTCAATGTATATTTAGGTTTCTCAGGGTTCCAGTATACTAGGTTCCCACCCTACACACTAAACTGCACTAAACCGTGGAACCCCATATCCTAAACCCTAAACGCTGGGGAACCCCAAATCCTAAACCCTAAACCATGGAACCCCAAATTCTAAATCCTAAACCATGGACCCCCAAACCCTAAACATTAAACCATGGAGCCCCAAACCCTCAACCCATGAGGTCCCACGGTGGCCCCATGATCCTCCAAGTAGACCCTAAACTCTATAGATCCCTTTTAAGGAACCCTATAGATCCCTATAAGGACCCCTTTTAAGGAACCCTAAACCATGATCCTCTAAGTAAGAACCCCCCCGCAAGTTCAGAGGTGGCTCTCAACGGCCTGGGTATCTCCTCCTAGGCTGGCCCAAGAGGATGCTATGTAGGATCCCCTTATGGTAACCCTTGTAGACCCCTTTAAAGGAACCCTAGGAACTCCAAAATAGCCCCCTTCAAAGGGTTTACTGTTAAAGGGTTTGCTGTAGGCCTTTCTGGTTTTAAGGCTTGAGGTTCTCAGACCTTCCAAAATCCCTTAATTAAGGAATATCCCTTAAACCATATTAAGGATCCTACTATAATTTAAAGGATATTCCTTAATTAAGGGGTTTTGGAAGGTCTGGGTATGTAGGTTGGGGGGGGTTCTTACTTAGCGGATCATGGTTTAGGGTTCCCTAAAAGGGGTCCTTATAGGGATCTATAGGGTTCCTTAAAAGGGATCTATAGAGTTTAGGGTCTACTTGGAGGATCACGGGACTAAGTAAGTAAGGTTCCTTAAGGGGACCCTTATAGGGCTCCTTGAAGGGATCCTTAAAGGGTTCTATAAGAGTTGTATCGTAGGGGGATCACGGGACTTAGTAAGTATGATTATAGTTACCTTAGGTGGGGCTATAAGTATTTACAAGTATGATTACCTTAATTATGACCTTAGTTACTATGCTAGGTAGGCTGGGGGTTCTTATGGTGAGCCCCAGAACGTTCGAGCATGGATTAGGGATGATTAGTGCTAGGATTCCTCATACTATACCTCAAGGGCATGAGGATAATGATGTTCCAACTTTCTGATTTCTACTCTTAGGGAGGATCTAGGATCTAGAGGGTTTAGGGTTTAAGCTTTCAGGTCCGTCTAGGGTTTATGGAGCTGGTATCTACCTGTAGGTTTCATTGTGGTTCTTTCTTGTGGTTTGAACTTATGATCCGATTAGGTATTCCCAGAAAGGAACCACCACGGAGACTATAGGTAGGGTTTATACTTGGAGGATCATGGGACTTAGTAAGTATGGTTATAAGTACGTTAAGTGGCGCAAGCTCTGGGACCTCGTTCTTCTCGGGGATGAGTATAAACATTGACGTTTCGAAGAGTACCTCAGCCCACTTTGCTTGGAGGATCATGGGACGTAACAAGTAAGGTTGTAAGTACCCTAAGTGGGGATATATGTAGTTATAAGTACAATTACCTTAATTACAAGCCTAGCCACTAAGTCCCATGATCCTTTAAGTGACAGAGGAGCAACACCCCAAACCCTAAACCCTGAGCGAGTTTGAATTTGAAAGGTTTTCATTCAGCGTAGAGCTGCTAGACGGCTCTTACAATACCAAGACCGCAGACTCGAAACCTGAAAGCCCTGAGAAGAACGTCTATAGAGCCCTTTGCAAGTCCGTGAGCATTGCCCTATACAATTAAAACCGAAAACCCAGCACAAGCGCGTATAACGCCTGTAGACACGGCATAGAAGATAGAAATAAACGTATCAAGCCTTGGCAGCCGCCAAACCTTAAACTACAACTCTAAGCGCCTAAGCCCATAAACCCTTAGACTACACCCGAGAAGCCTGGACAACCCCGAGTCTCTAACCCTGAACCTCTAAACCCTGAACCTCCAAACCCTGAACCCCTGAACCCTAAACCCTAAACCCTGAGCCCTCTTCAACCCTAAACTCTAAACTCTAAACCGCGACGTGAAGGAGGCGTTTGCTTCCTGGACAGGTCGGGGCGATCGTCGCAGATCCCACGAAGTGCTGAGGCGCAATGGTGCCGTTGGGTTGAGGGATCAACACGGCTTTGAGGCCTCCGGGTTTAGGGACCATGGGTCTAGAGCTGAAGAAGGTCGTTTGGTTGCCTAGGGCCTTAGGGTTTGATTAGGGGTTTCGGGCCTGTAGGGAGTAGGGCCTTAGGGTTCAGGGGTTTCGAGGTCAGGGGTTTGGGGGGGGGGGGCGGGGTTACGGTGTGTTCTAGATGGATTTGGGGGCTGGGAGGTTCTAATTTCCAAGCAGTAGGGTTTTGATCCCCAAAGAGTTGACTAAGGAACTATCTCGTCACTGTGACCATAAGAGCACCCTAAATACTTATGATGACCATATCAACCCCTGTCAAGCGTTTACAGAATCAGCAAGCCTGGTGAAGATCCCTTGAAATACTGTCTGAGTACTGGGACCCTGAGGGATGCGGTAACTTGCGTTTCGGCTTTGAGGGTTTGTCGGAGTGAAAACGCTGCGGCATTTTACAGCAGTTCCCACAGACTCAATGCCGCGCATGGGCAGCAATTTCAAAGAGCCCTTCGAACTGGCTGCGCGAGAAGGATTTGAGAATCACGAAGCCAGCGACCAGCCAATGCACCTTGCCAGTCGTGACCCGCTCTATGGCGAACCCTAAACCCTACACCCTCAACCCTAAAACCCTAAATCCCTAAACCCTACACCCTAATGACGTCAGATAAAGTTCTGCGAGAATCTGCATTTCATAGACTCGCAGTAACGTTCGAGAAGGGCCGGAGCCAGAGATCCGACAGGCTGCTCCTTGACGTACTGCATCAAAGAAGATGTTTTGGATGATTGGGCTGTCTTCCGGCATAAGATATCTTGTTCGATGAGGTTGCTATTCCACGCTCATAGTCAAAAGCCTAGAGCCCTGTTACTTGTTTCTGCCGAACAACTTATAACGATATCGGGCCTCAAAAGTCTGTTGCTGTTACTTGTTTCTGCCGAACAACTTATAACGATATCGGGCCTCAAACCTTAACGGATGTTACAAAGGGCTTGCGCGAGTGCCCAGAGAACCCCATGACCGCTTCTTGTGGCGAATCGTCCTGATGTGCTATAGGGCATCATGCAATCAATCAAGCCAATATCCCTTCGTTTCGGGCTAGCGGGCTGTTCGGGAACATGTCTGAACCCTAAGCCCTAAACCTGAATGTTTCAATTCGACCTTGGGCCGGTTGTGGGCTTGAAAGCTCGGCGTTCGGGCTTATCTAAGCTTTAGGAACTTTAGGGTTAGGTTTCAAGGGTTCATTGAGATTCAGCGTTTCCCTTGTGGCTTAGGGTTTGAGATTTTCGGACGTAGAGTTCGCCCCAACAGACACGAAACAACAAAACCCTACCCCTGAACCCCAAGCCTCTAAACTTCAGAACCCTAAGATACCCTAAGCCGAAAGCCTCAGTTCCTAAACTCTACACCACCTCAGTTCTCAACCTCTAAACCTTATAAGCCCTCAGCCCTACAAGCCTGAAGCCTAGTACCCCTAAACTCGAAGGCGCTAGCCTCTGGTAGTGAAGGAACGCCGAGGACCGTCAAAACAGCAACGAACAGACATCAAAGCCCCGCATCCGGATCCCTAAACCCCTAAACCCCTAAAACCCTTAACCCTTAAGCCCCAAACTGGGGTTTAAGGTTTAGGGCTAACCCTTTAACCCCAAACCCCTGTAGAACACCATGCGAGGTCCCTCAGAGGAACTCTACACCCTACGCCCCTGTAGAACCCTTAAAAGCCCTGTAACTTGGAAACCCACATTAAAAACACAACCGCGACAGTTGGGAGAAAAACGTTCAACTACCTGAAGGGATCGAAATAGTCGTAAGACTTTCTCTGAAGAGGGAAAAGGTCCGGCCAGAAAAAAACACAGACCCTAAACCCTAAACGCCTGAACCATCCTAAATCCCTAAACCCCAAACGATAAACCCTAAACCCCAAACCCTTATGGAACCCTAGAGATCCGTTTAGAGGAACCCTTTAAAGGAACCCCAAACCCTGACAAAAATGACGGTGCGGTTCGAAAGGCTGCGTCCGCGGCCCAGCCCGGCCGTCTTCCGGAGTCTCTCGTTGCAGGTGCGCTTGAGGGTTTAGGGCTACTGGGTTTAGGGGTTTAGGACTTAGGGATTCGGGGTTTAGGTTTAGGGGTTTAGGGTTTAGAGGATTAGGGTTTAGGGCTACTGGGTTTTGGGGCGGTTAAGGTTACTAGTATGTAGGGTTACTCATTACTACTAGTATGTGAGCTTTAGGTTTAGCACTACTGGGTTTTGGGGCGTTTTAGGGTTCCTAGTATGTAGGGCGACTCATTGCAATTAGTATGTGAGTTCAAGGTTTAAAAGTTGCTTGGATTTATGGTTCAGGGGTTTGGGGTTGGGGGTTTAGGGTGAAGAATTTAGGGGTTTGAGTTCTTAGGGTTTCAGGCTTTAGGTTTAGGTGTTTTCAATTGCTGTTATATAAGGGGTTTTAGGGCATTAGAGTCTTTAAGGTTAGGGTGTTTAGGGCAGCAAGAGCAGTTTTTGGTTTAGGGTTGGGGTTTACAGCAGGGTTTTTGGGGCTTGAGGGTTTAATTCTAAGGTTTGAGGGTCTAGGATAAGACTTTTTGAATCATCTTAATCCTGCCACAAGAACAGTCATAATCATAATCAAGTAGGTTCATGGTTATAACCCTAAACCCTAATCCCTAAACCCTAAACCGCAATATACAGAGGACGGCTGAAAGTAATCGCGTTAGTAGCAGGTCAGGAAGCTTAGGGCTTCGCCTGTTTCGGTGTCAGCATTTTCGGGGTTTTGGGGGGTTGAGGGGTTGTGGGGCTTTAAGATGATAGGGGTTTTGGGGGTGTTGTTTTTTGGGGTTAAGGGTTTTTCATAGTACTGACCATAGCATTTTCACAGTCACAGTTAGTCTACCTATCAGTAGTAGTAAGCAACTCTTACTTCAATGGCAATGGCAGCAACAACTAGTGTTTGACATTCTTGTTTAAGGTTTGTTCAGGTCTTCTTCGTTGCTGGTCAGTTTGTTTGGTTGAGGAATTTTGCTTAGAGTTAGGACTTCAGTTTTTGAGGGTCAAGGATTGCGTTTGCAACTATGGGCTTTTGGGCCAATGCCATGTTATGGCTACACTCGAGCAACATGTACTTTTTTGCGTGGAGGCGGGGAACATCCCAGAGTAATACTGCTTTCGCTACAGGCCCTAGCTCCCTGAACCTCGAATCCTTTTTGAATACAGCTTTGAATACCCCCATCCCATAATTAGATGCGGTTTTTGCAATTTTGCAGGACCTCTCTCCAAGCCAGAGAACTTCCAGGACAGCTTCCTTGCCACTCAGCTGTTGTTGACGGTCACGGTCATGGGAACCGAGCCTGAGTTCACCTTTGGAACTTTTCATGTTTCCATTGTAGTAGAAACCCAGGAGGTCATTAAACCTACTGTTCATGTTGGGACCGCGGGGCAGTTACTACGGTATTAAGCAGACTAAGTTATCGATAGGATAGCCCGACTAGGGTACATAATAGAAATTTCACTTACATCCCGCATACGGCGACGCCTGACCCTTTAAGTTGGGTTAGGGCTCCAGGGGCATTGTTTAGGAAGTGGAAGGGTTTAGACTTATACTTGAAGGATGCATGGGCAAACTACCCAGAGGGTCCATATATATTATTATGGAATTAGGTCCCAAAAGACCATCCCCATTATTTTGGGGGGCCTAAGTCCAGAATAGTAGTGTATGTGGACCCTCTTGGCTGGAAGCAAACTAGAACCCTATGCCTCCAAGGACCTTATAGTTAGGGCCCTAGACCCCTTAAGGACCCAATAATAAGGTCCCTGGAAGCCCCAGGGAAGGCTGAAAAACTTGAAGGGTTTAGGGTTTAGGGTTTAGGGTCAAGTTTAAGCCTTGAGCCCTAAACTCAGGAAGTCATGAAGCTGCGAAGTAACGCGGTTGTTAGGAGCCCAAGAAGGTGACGAACACTATTCCTTATGGTTCGTCTTATACCCCAAGGGTCCAAAGGAGCCAATAATGAGGTACTCGGTTTTAGGATAGTAGTTATGTAGGTTAGGAGTTTGGAGAGTATACGATTATTATGTACCTGGACCCTTGGGGATACGTATAGTTATGGTGTACACTATGGCCCCCAAACCCTGTTCGGATTACTATTGCCCCCCGACATCAATCAAGCGCCACGGCCTCAGGGACGGCTACGCTTATTTTTGGTTAGTAGGGAATGGAAGAATGGTAGTAATCGTAGTTATACGTGTACCCCATTCCTCCATTCGCTACTAACCAAAGGTAAGTACGGAGTGGGTTCTAAGCAGCGCTCACCTTCGAAGCGTTGTTCCCCCCCAAACCCCTAAAGCCCTGAACCACTACACCCCTAAAGCCTAAAACCTAAAGCCGAAACCCTAAAAACCCTAAAACCCAAAACCGTAAACCCTAAAGCCCTAAAACCCTCAAACCCGAAACCCCAAAACCCTAAAGCCGTAAAGCCTAAGCCCTGAAGCTCTACACCCCTAAACCCTAGCATCGCCAGCCCATTGGTCGGGCTTTGCTTAGCTGAATCCTGCTTGTAGGTTGGTTTGCTGCTTGTGTTTATCTTTGGTTCAGGGCTTATAGGCTTTGCATACTGCATCATGCTTCTAGAAGGCTTTATAGGGTCTTATAGGCTGGTGTACGTAGGGTGCTTGGGGTAAAAGCCCTAAACCCCTGAAATTATTTTAAGCCCCATGCTGGACTCCCCAACACCTCCAAGATGGGCTTTGTGAAAGCCGCCGGGGACCGGTGGCAAGCGGTGGCTGCTTGGCTCTGAAGCCTTACTTGGAAGTTCAGGGTTTCGAGATTAGGGTTTACTGAAGCCCTGCTTGGAGGTTTAGGGTTAAGGGTTTACAGAAGCCTTACTTAGGAGGCTCATGGGTAGCTGTATAGGGTTTGATATGAGGTTTGGGGCTTTAGGGGGGCTATAACATTACTGCAGATTCATGGGTACTTAGAAATGAGGGTTTGAGTCCTTCAATGCGGTCAACCCTACCCCTAAACCCTAAATCCTAAACACCCGGAAGCTGTGATTTTTCAGACAACATTCGAAGCCCTGAACCTTAACTTACCAACCTAAAGCCCAAGCTCCAAGTATAGGGGTTTCCGAAAGTTAGGGGTAATATATTTTGGGGTCCTTGTAATAGGGATCCTACTATTCAGGGTACTATATTAGGGTATATTAGTGTCCCCTATTTTAAGAAACTCCCATATCGGGGCCTGAACACAAAAGGTGTTCCATCTAATACTCTACTATAACCCAGCCCTGTGCAAACCATTCATTGGCATGAGGCACTTTGGTTGGGGCTTTAGGGCTTTGGCCCCTAGGGGTAAGTCCCTTTTCGGTCTAGGCATTTGGGTTTGGGGTTGCCGGTTTCAGGCTAGGCCCTAAGCCCCTAAACCCTAACCCTAAGCCCTAAACCCTAACCCTAAGCCCTAAACCCGAACCCTAAGCCCTAATCCCAAGCCCTAAACCCTAAACCCTAAACCCTAACCCTAAGCCCTCAACCCCCAACCCTAAGGTGCCCAGACAGACCTAGAGCCGAGAAGAAATTCAAGAACCAATCCAAAACTCTTTCAGGACCCGTTTTTTTGTTTAAGGTTTCTATGAGGTTTAGGGTTTAGGGTTTAGGGTGAGGGTTCCTTTAAAGGGTACTATAAGGGCACTATAAGGCTTTTTTTGGGGGGGCTTTGATGTAGGAACCTGATTAAGAAACCTTGGGCCTTTATTAGGCTCCTTATATAAATCCTAGTGTTTTGGGTAATTTGGGCCCAGGGCTTCTTAATCAGGTTCCTACATTAAGGGTTAAGTTTGGACTTGAAAGGTTTCCAAATGAAGACACCGCGCAGAACACCCCGACCCGAATCCGACGAACCGCCCGAACCCCTGAACCCTTAACCCGAGTTTAGGGTGAGGTTTAGGGATTTAGGGTTTAGGGTTTGGGGCCCTTTGGGAATAGGCTTGAATATACTTGATTTGTCGCAAAACAAGTTGCTACATACTATATAACATGTTTAGAGATGTCATAGCACCATAACCCAGCAACCTGCCACACAGGCAACAGAGCTCTTACACGGCAAAGGACCCTGGCAAAGCTTCACTTCAAGGTTATTTCATCCTTAACACCAAGACACAGCATTCTTGCACCCTACGGCATGAACCCCGAACCTTAAAAAACATAACCTTTGAAGGCTTACTTCTCGGGTTATCACGGCCGCCTTCAATCCCGATAGAGAACCCGGTTTTAGCTTCCTACAAGCCTATAGACGTTGAACCGCAAAAGATAGTAAAAACTGACCGGAGCCTGATATCAAGGACGATGACACCGAGGAAGTCCAGGTCAGCTCCGCCCATGGAATTTCGGAGCTTAGAGAGTTTACGGCTCAGCTTCACGGTTGCTATATCAAGGGTTCTGCACAGGGTTCTAAGAACTCGACCCTGCAGCCAAATAGGAACAACCTACATAAGCCCCACACTCCAACGAGATCCCTCAACCCGATGGAAAGGGTACCTATACGATTTTTTGGGGGTCTCCTTCTTATAATCTTACAATAGTATCATGGGCCCCAAACCCCTATTTTAATCTTAATTAAGGCCCCTACATTAGGCTCCTGGCTCTAGTTTAGGGTTCAAGCAAGGCTTGAGCAGGTCTTTAGGGTTTCTGGCCTAGGGTTGGGGACGAATAGTGCCTGACGGAGCTCTTATCGGTTTAAGGATCTGTGGTTTAGACGCATGGTTTAGGGCTTAGGGTTTAAGGAAATATGAAGATTATGTCAGCTACTTTCAACGGTTTCGTGCGCTAATTTTGTGCCAGCACAAACAGCGATGTAAGACTCACGAATACCACGTATTTGTTTGGCCAAGCACAGGTCTTTCGGATGCAAAGCAACCCAGACTTCCCAGTCCCTCCGTTAAGGAAGGGTTTAGCGTTCAGGGTTTATGTAGCTCAGATCATGGTGGTGATGAGCCGACAGATATTCCGGATTCCTTCATTAAAGGGCTTTCTATTCCCTGGTAGCCAAGCGCCCCTTTGAAGACTCATCGCGGTCAGTAAGACAGACGGACAATAACAACTCCGGGGGGTTCAGGTTTAGGATTTCAGGTTTAACCTAAACTTTAAGCCCTGAGCCCTAAAGCCTACCTTAAGCCGGAATAACCTCCCTTTTTAAGGACTATAAAGAAATCATAATAAGGAACCCCCAAAAAGGTAGGTTATTCAGGGTTAAGGTAAGCCCTAAGCCCTAAAGCCTAACCCCTACCAACCAACCAACCAACCTATAAACTTTAAAAACTCGATGCCCTGAGCCCCTAAGCCCGAAACCTTGAACTCTAAGCCCTGACGCTAAAGCCTGAACCCTTAGTTTAGGGATGATGAAAAGATCACGAGACCGCTATCTAGGCGTGGGTTTAGGGCTCAGGCTTCATGGTTTCAGGGTTCGCAACCACCGCTGGCTTCGACAGATGGTGGTGTTGACAGTTTGATCCCGATATGCTGCGTAAGTCATAGACTCCCAAGTCTCTTGCACAGGAGTCACACTTTTGGCTCCCACAGTGCTCTGCAGCATGGAGTGGGTTGTGCATCTCACGATGCTAGCTCAAGGGAGCTGAGTGTCCCTGTCCTGTAACCTTTCGACGCTAAACCCCAAACCAACACCCGTGGGTGCCACTTCCCCTAAACCCCCCAATCGGGTTCTTATACAGACTCAATATGACCGAAGGCTTTCAGGCAATTGAAACCCGAAAACCTCCGTCAGGGCTCGACTCGCGAGGCACTAGTCGCTGCAGTGCCTTGGCCGAAGTGGGGACATTGTACCTATAGTCTCCATTGTAGTTCCTTTTTTGGTTTAACCAGTTCTATATTAAGGGTCCTAAAAGGTAACCCAAAAAGGAACTGCAACGGAGACTATAAGTACTATGGTTTAGGGTTTACGTTTGAAGGTTTGGGGTAGGGTTGAGACCATGCGGCTGTTATGTCGCACGGGGTTATCGGAGAAATAGGGTCACGTGACGGGTGTTGTTCAGGGTTCTGTTGCCAAGGTCCCCAATATTCTGAACCTCACATATACCTGGAAACCAAGAGAGCTAGAGTCAATACTAACCCTTCAGACCCCTCACAAACGCCGTATACAACGCTAAGGGTGATTGTAGTCTTTGGGGTCCACCGACGTATGCAAGGCTGCGGCCAGAAATCCTAAACCCTTAACCGACTACAGGTGGGCTTCAGGTCTCTTGAGCACTTCCTTGTCACGGCTTGATTGTTGCTTCGTCTTCGGTGCTGGTTCCATCGTAAGTACGAGGTTCAATGGACTTTAATCAATGTTTGCGGGCATGTGTCATGATCGGTTGCTCTGTCTTCAACGTGGGCCTGCGATGTGAAATCGACGACAAAAGGCCGGCAAGTACAACATTGAGAAGAGGTAGCAGGTGGCCCAACCACAATCTGAAACTCTACACCAAAACCCTAAACACCCGATAAAGCCCATTCGCTGGGGTTTGAAACTTCGCAACGCAGTATGGTTAAAGTCTTGGAGTGCATTGCTGGCTCTGGGGATCAGCATTGCGCACTTGTTCAGTGCAGTGGTAATGTAGGAACCTGATTAAGAAACCCTGGGTCTATAACCCCAAAACAAGTGAGAACCCTAAAATGAATACAGGCCGAAGGCTTCTTAATCAGGTTCCTACATCAACCCCGCCAAAACCCGTATAGTGCCCTTATAGTACCCTTCAAAAGAACCCTCTAATAAAGGCCCAAGTCTTCTTAATCAGGTTCCTACCTTACTAAAAGGATCACGGGACTTAGTAACTAGGGTTATACTTAAGGCAATTCTATTTATAACTGCTTATAATGACTGGATTTGGGGTATAGTTTGGGTATGGGTCTCATGTACAGTTGTTTCACACTGACGTTACCTTTTGGCTCAAGTGCGCGGTTGCTAAAATAGCGTTTCATGGTAGCGGAGCACCTGGTTGATGGTGCTTACACTTCTCTTGCGTGCCGCTTGTGGTAGAAGGGCACGACCTCGTGAGGGGAGAAGGTGGATACACGATCCAGAGCGCGCACAGAGGAATTGGGTTCGGCTGCTCGCCAAGTTTCGGAAGGTACGAAAGTACCAGAGGTTGTTCCACAATCTGGGGCTTAGGCTTCAGGACTTCCCGCGGGGATTGCTGGATAGGATTTCGAGAATCCTGGGCGGCGTCGTACGGCGACGCACGCGGCTCTTTGGAAGGTAAGGCCCGGTTCGGGACTTGCCTAGGAAAGAGAGGCAATGGCGGGAGAAGGGCAAACAGGAGAGCAGCTCGTGATGAGGCTGCTGCAGACGCAGCAGGAGCAGATGGGACAACTCCAGAGACTGCTAGAGCAGAACCAGAGGCCACGCGGAACCGTGGTGGATACAAAGGCTATTGGCCGACCTGAGAAATTGGGAGGAACACTGGAGGAAGCCTCGCGTGCATGGCGCCAGTGGAACTACCGGCTGGAGCTTTGGCTCACGAGCCAGTTTCCGGAAACCCGGGCAATCGCAATCCTGACTTGGGCTCGGACCCAAGATGATGAGATCGCCGTTACCAGGCTGAGGGAACAGCTGGTGGATGGAGTGACTCCGGAAAAGGTTCAGGAGTTCAATCGACAACTGGAGGTAGTCCTGGGTACTTTGACTATGGACACCCCAGGGGATATCACGATGAACTCGAGCGCAGGATCCGGACTGGACATGTACCGGCGGCTCCATGGGAGATTGGATCCGACTGACATGGTCACGAGCTTTAGGTGGTTGCGGCAGCTCATGTCGACGAAGCCAGTTGCAGAAGTGAGCGACTTGATCGCTGCAGTGGAGAGATGGGAGGACCAGCATCGGAGGTATGCTGCCCGTCGGGACTGCACGGCGCTGACCGAGCGCCAGAAGATGGTTTCGTTGTTGGGAATGGTTCCCGCGGAGTTGCAGTCACACCTGGAGCTCAACCTTCCACGGCTCAACTCGTACGACCTTCTACGGAGGAGATCGTGACTTTCGCCGAGAACCGCCGGGCATTCACTGTGGATGACTCCGGCGCAATGCCTATGGACATCGACTACGCCAAGGGGAAGGGGAAGGGAAAAGGAAAGGACAAGGAGACCCGTAAGTGCCACAAGTGTGGCAAAGTGGGCCATCTCGTAAAGGACTGCAGGAGCCCGATCGACATAAGGAAGAACAAGGATGCAGGAGGTGGTTCTAGTGGTTACCCCAAAGACCCCACCCCAGGAGGCAGAGGTAGTGCAGGGAAACCGCCGAAGGGTAAGGCTCAAGGTAGGGGCCGCGGCGGGAAAGGCAAGGGCGGGCACGCCCGCGAGCTAGACGGCGAAGAGGAGGAGCCAGACGGCGAGGAACCCGAGCAGGAGGAGGACTACGAAGCCGAGGTGGGCTTCATAGGAATGCTCGAAGGCGAAGGAGAGGACCCGGGAAGGGGAGACGAGACGCCAAAGAAGCCGGAAAGAAAGGAAAAGAAAGAAAAGAAGAAGGAAAAAGAGGAAAAGAAAAGGAAGAGCCCAGAGGGCGACGACGAAGACTGGGGAACCTGGCGTTCCGACCCCAGTGCTTCTGGCGCGGGATCGTCTCGAGACCCGCCAGAAGGGGGCAGGGCACGAGCAAGTGCCAAAGCCAACTAAGATTGTGCGTTTGGCTTAAGTTAAGATACAGACGTTACTAGGGGGTTAGGTAAGTTAGATAAAAAGTTAGCATAAGTTAAAGAAAGTTAACATAAGTTAGCAAAAGTGAACTTGTGGGTTAAAAGAAACAACGATGGGGTGGCGGGGTCGTGGGTGGTGGTAGCGGGTGGTGAGTCGGTGGCCATCGCCAGCCACCACCAACCACCCACCAACCAAAATGCGGTTAACAAATCCATTCCCAGAAAAACTTTGCACGCAGCTGATTAGGGGTTTATTAGAAAGTTTAGGCGCTGCACCAGCCACCACCCACGCCACCCACGCCACCCACCACCCACCACGCACCACCCACCACCCACAACCCACAACCCACCACCCACCCACCACCCACCACCCACCACGCACCACCCACCACCCACCACCCACCACCCACCACCCACCACCCCACCCACCTCCAAATCCCACCACCCACCACCCACCACCCACCACCCACCACCCACCACCCACCACGCACCACCCACCACCCACCACCCACCACCCACCACCCACCACCCACCATCCACCATCCACCATCCACCACCCACCACCCACCACCCACCAACCACCACTCACGCACCGGTAGTGGGGTGGTGGGGCGGTAGGTGCGGTAAAGTGCGGGGTGGGTGGGGTGGTGGGGTGTAAGGGCGGGCTGGGGTGGGGTGGTGGTGTGGGAGTCGTGGGGTGGTGGTGGTGGGGTGGTGGTGGTGTGGGGTGGTGGGGTGGTGTGGGTGGTGGGGTGGTAGGGTGGTAGGTGGTGGGGTGGTGTGGCGGTGGTGGGGCGAACCAGGGGTGGAGTGCCAGCCATGAACTTTTATGAACTTTTCAGGCCTGGAAATATGAACTTTTTATGAACTTTTCAGCCCTGGAAATATGAACTTTTTATGAACTTTTCAAGCCTCGAAATATGAACTTTTTATGAACTTTTCAGGCCTCGAAATATGAACTTTTTATGAATTTTCAGGCCTCGAAATATGAACTTTTCAGGCTTGGATTCATTGTAAATACCAATAAAACACTAAAAAAATGAACTTTTTCCGGCCTGGAAATATGAACTTTTTATGAACTTTTCGGGCCTCGAAATATGAACTTTTTATGAACTTTTCAGGCCGCGAAATATGAACTTTTTATGAACTTTTCAGGCCTGGAAATATGAACTTTTTCTGAGCTTATCCGGCCTGGTTCCTGGCTTTATGAACTCGGGGGTGGTGCTGGCGGTGGTGGCGCGGGCGGTGGGGGTTGCTGATGGTGGTGTCGGTGGTGCTGGTGCTGCTGGTGCTGGTGGTGCTGCTCTGTTTTGGTGCTGGTGGTGGGGGCGGCGGCGGCGGCGGTGGTGCTGGTGCTGGTGCTATAGGTGCTGGTGCTGGTGCTAGCGCTGGTGGGTGCAGGTGCTGGTGCTCGCACTTCCGCTAGCGCTGGGGCTGGTGCTGGTGCTGGCGGTGGTGCTGGCGGAGGTTTCCCAAGCCCTACACCCCAAACCCAAGCCCCTAAACCCCTGGCGGTGGTGCTGGCGGAGGTTTCCCAAGCCCTACACCCCAAACCCAAGCCCCTAAACCCCTGAACTCTAAACATGCGCTGGTGGTGTTCCTAACATCCTAGACATGTGTTGTTGCTGTTGGTGGTGGTGCTGGTGCTGGTGGTGCTGGTGCTGTTGTTGTCGTGGTGGTTGCTGTTGTTGCTGCTGTTGTTGTTGTGGTGGTGGCGGCGGCGGTCTTGGTGTTGGTGAAGGCTGTGGTGATAGTGTTTCTACACTCCACACCGTACCCTATACCCCCTAAACCCTATAACCCTGGTGGTGGTGCTGATGCTGGTGCTGGTGCTGGTGGTGGTGGTGGTGGTGGTGGTCCTAAACACCTGAACCCCTTAAGCCCATAGCATCTGCTCTTATCTTTGTGGAGCACAGAAAAGAACAGCATCAGTGACAAACAACGAAAACCATTTAACACAAAACCGACATAAAACAAAAAAAGTTAGAATAAGTTAACATAAGTTAACATAAGTTAGCAAAAGTTAGCGAAAAAGTTAACTTAAGTTAATAACTTCTTTTTTTCCAAACAACCTTCTACTAACTTCCCCCAAGTTAGTAGGGACTTACTACATGGATGGCAA